TTGAAGCTCCCAACCTCTCCTTTTTTCTTTTTTTTTTTAATTCTGGGATTTATTTACCTTCTATGGCTGTCACTGGAGCTGAGAGCCGGCTTTAGTTCTGAGGCTCGACTCCAGCTCTGAGAGCTTTGCTGCTGAAAGTAGTTATCTGGGCTTTGTTTGAGTTCTATAATTGTAACACTGTTGCGGTCCTGCTAGCTCCAGCTCTGACGGCTGAAAGCAGGTTTCTGGGGTTTATTTACCTTCTATAATTGCAACATTGTTTCTTAGACTGCAGCTCAGAGTCCAGCAGCAGCAGGCGGGGAACCTTGGTTTCCTCTATCACTGGAGCAAGCAAGCCTCCTGTTCGATTCAGCTGCCTGGCTGCCGGCCATCTTGGTTGGCAGTTAATTTGCATATCTCGCTGATTAGCCAATGGGAAGGGTAGCGAAGTTATGGTTAATTACCATGTTTCTCTATTATTAGATAGGATAGTATTTTATTCTTTCATGGGTACAATATCATCTTTTAGTTCTTTCTATAGATATTGCAGTTATAAAATATAGAATTGTATACCTGAAACCTATATAATTTTATTAACCAATGTGTCACCCCAATAAATCCAATTAAAAATTTTTTAAAATAAAAGTTATTTGGCCCAGCCAGCATGGCTCAGTGGTTGATCATCAACCTATAAACCAGGAGGTCACAGTTGGATTCCCAGTTAGGGCAAATGCACCGGCTGGGGCTCGATCCTCTATGTGGGTTGTGCAGAAGGCAGCCAATCAATGATTCTCTCTCATCATTGATGTTTCTATCTCTCTCTCGCTCTCCCTTTCTCTCAGAAATGAGTAAAAAAATATTTTTTAAAAGGTTGTTTTAAATTTTTTTCTTCTTCAATCGCCTGTTTCTTCTGAGTCTGTATTTCATATTCTGTCCTCACAATGGGATTTTCTTCAAAGGTGATACTTAGTAGGCATAATTAAAAGACAGGCACTTAAAAAGGCTGACTGAAAATTCTGGGTGGGTTGTGTAGACGGGAGAACACCAAGATGATTTCTGTTCAGTAGCGAGTCTATAAATGTGCCTGCAGATTTTTTTCTGAGGTTATTCCATTTCTTTAGTTACCAATCCACCAATCTCCTGCTGGAGCATAGTTAGTAAGGAACTAGTGGTAGTAGAAATATGCCTCACTACTAGCATTCTGGAAGCCAAACAAGAGGATCACTATTTAGTATACGTATTTTATTTAATTTCCCGAACTCCAGTACACTGCCTCATTGTCTGCCCTCTGCTATGTGTAGTATCTCTGAATTGGAAATCTATATGGTTTAATTTCACTTCAAAATAAATCTATCTCCTACTAGGGGGTGAGGCATCAAACTGCTTCTTACTAACTTTTTATTTTTAATTGATTTTTAGAAAGAGAGGAAGAAAGAGAGAAAAAAACATTGACTTGTTATTTCACTTATTTATGCATTTATTGGTTGCTTTATATGACTGGAGATCAAACCCACAACCTTAGCATACTGGGATGATGCTCTTAACCAACTAAGCTACCCGGCCAGGGCCTTAAAGAAGGTTCTTCTTTTCAAATCTATGCCTCACCCTCTCTATCCTGATCCTTTATATCTCCAATTCTGGAACCTTTCTGGTATTCCACAGCCTTAGCTGGCTTGCTTATTACTGGCATCTGCTACTCAGCTCTATGAAATAACCATCCAGTTTTCATCTTTCAAAGTTGTTGACACTGCCTACCCATCTGCTATCTCCTTGTTTTCTTCACCCTTTTGTATTTCCATATTCTCATTTTTGTGGGATTCAGAGGGAGCAGGAAAAAAATGTTCAGTTTGCCATGTTTAATTATAAGCCCTTTCTGTACGGTTAGAAATAAAATGTAAATAATGCCAGACAAAGAAACTTATGATCAGAAAAAGAAATAAACCACAAAAATGGCCTGATAACAGATCTTATTCTGAATAAAGTTTGGTAAGGACAGGAGGGACATGAAAATGGTCAAGACCTCATAGGTGAACAGGAAGTAAATTTAAGCCAGGTAGCTGATGAATTTCAGACACTGGGTTGATAAAATAAGTTGATAAAAACATGAAGTCTTTGTAAATTAACTTACTTGTGTGGAGTCTGTCAGACCTTTGGAATGACTTCTTCCCCAAGCCTAACAAAGGGTTTTCCACTTTAACTGAAGAAGAAAAGCTAGAGTTTGAGTTCTGGGAGCTGCTTGACTGTCCATCTGATTGCTTTCCTTCCCATACTGCTAGGGAAAAATATACAAAAGACTGGTGACATTAAGGTTATAGATAGAAATCAATTAAGCAAACCATTCAATACTAACTAAAAGTAGTTATATATGAGGCAAGGTGACCTTGCAAATATGTTCTGAGTCTGAGAATTAAGCCTAGAAAAAAAATAAAATCCTGTTCTGTTGGTGTGGTTTCAACCAAGGTACATGCCCTTGACCGGAATCGAACCCGGGACCCTTCAGTCCCCAGGCCAACGCTCTAGCCACTGAGACAAACAGGTCAGGGCAAAAAAATATATTTTTAAAAAAGGTAAAATCCCTTATTTCCTCTCAGCACATTACTGGCTTTTGGTGGTAAATTTCTTTCCTAACATAAATGCAAAGTTCTGCAAGACACAGTTTAAATCTGGCAGGCACATATAATTAACTGGCATCAAAATGAATTGCATGATAAAACACAAAATCTATATCCAGACCAGTTTAGATTAAAAACAAAGTAAGCGACAGCAACAACAAATCTAAAGGCCTTCAGGTCTGCCCAATGGAAATTCAAAGGCTGCATATATTTTTAGGTTTTTTTATTAAATATATTTTTATTGATTTCAGAGAGGAAGGTAGAGAGAGATAGAAACATCAATGACGAGAGAGAATCACTGATCGGCTGCCTCCTCCAAGTTCCACACTGGGGATTGAGCCCGCAACCCAGTCATGTGCCTTGACCGGGAATTGAACCCGTGACCTTCTGGTTCATACGTTGACACTAAACTACTGAGCCACACCAGCTGGGCAAAACCTTTTCTTTTTAAAGGAGGTAATTTGTGAAGAGTTCAGTTTGAGCATCTTTTGGAACCATCAGCTTTCTAAGGTTACTGATTAGCAGCTTCCAAATATTACTAAGACATCTTGGAAGTTACATTACTCATAGATCTCACTCTAACATACAAATCCCACTTATGTATTTTTTAATAACTGCATGAATATTTGCATAAATTTTCTGTTTATCTTGGAAAGATTACTAATAAGTCAATGATTTGGCAGTACAAGAATTATGTAAATAAAATAATTTAAAAATAAATGCTACAGTATACAAATTGGAAAACCAACATGAAACTATCAGAAAAAGAAACATCCATTGATGAAAAGATTAAGCAAAAACAACAGAACAGACAAACAAAACCCCCCTCAGAGACAGACAATAGTACGGTGATTATCACAGGGGAAGGGGGTAGGGAGAGGCAACAGAGGGTAATGGGGAGGATAAATGGTGTGGAAGGAGACTTTACTTGTGGTTGTGAACACACAATACAATATACAAATGATGTATTATAGAACTGTTCCCCTGAAACCCATATAATTTTATTAACCAATGTCAACCCAATAAATTCAATTAAGAAATAAAATAAAATAATAAAAATAAAGAAACTCCCATTGAAAAGACACTCCCATCCACCTACCAGATTTGGCAGTCACAGAGTCACTGGCAGCTTTGACAGCCTTCAGAGAGAGATGCTGACTGGAGGAGAGGGCCATACTTGGCCGGCATTGCTGCTGCTGCTTCCGCTGCTGCTGCTGCTTCAGAGCCTAGAAAGAGAAAACTGACTGTGAGAAACAAGACAATCGTTTCAGTAATAAGAAAAAGTAAATGACTTATTAAGTGGAAAAGAGCATGCAACTTTAATGCAAATATTATTCTGTGTGTTTATGTGTATATATAGATATATATGTGTGTGTGTGTGTACGTATTTTTCTTAATATTAGTTCTAAAATGTTCAACTGTTTACTTATGGGGTATATACTTAAAATTTTAATAAATACACCCTGGCTGGTGTGGCTCAGTTGGTTGAGCATCTTCCTATGCACCGAGGGATTGCCAGTTCAAATCCAGATCAGGGCATATTCCCAGGCTGAGAGCATGATCCCTGGTAGGGGTATGCAGGAGGCAGCTGATCAATGTTTCTCTGTCTCATCCATGAATCTCTTTCTCTTTCTCTTTCTCTTCCTCTCCCTTACTCTCTAAAATCAATAAAAACATATTTAAAAAATAAAATAAATAAAAAATTAAGTTTTAATAAATGTTACAAAATCTGTCTCCTAAGTAACTACAATAATTTATATTCTACTGACAAACTACAGTAGCCATTTTCCCACACACTTGCCAATGCTTGATATAATTAAGATTTTTATACTGATCTGAGAATTAAAGTAGTCCACTATTTTTATGTTTTCTTAACTACTAGTAAGTTTCTATTTACTGACCATTTGCATTTCAAACAAATCAAAAGCTAGTTCTTAGAAAAGCCCAATAAAATAGACAAACCATTGGCTAGCAGCATTGAGGGGGCGAAAAAAATCCTATATAATAAAACCCTAAAATGCAAATCGACCGAACAGTGGTATGACTGGTCACTAGGACATGCACTGACCACCGGGGGCAGATGCTCAATGCAGGAGCTTCCCCCAGTGGTCAGTGTGCTTCCACAGGGGGAGCATCGCTCAGCCAGAAGCCAGGCTCACGGCTGGCGAGTGCAGCAGTGGTTTTGGGAGCCTCTCTTGCCTCCGCAGCAGCGCTAAGGACGCCTTGGCAGATATCCCCCAAGAGGTTCTGGACTGTGAGACAGAGCAGGCCAGGTTGAGGGACAATCCTCACGCCCCCCCCACCCCCCCACAGTGCACGAATGTCATGCCCCAGGTCTCTAGTACATTATAAATGAACAACACTGAAGAACAAAAAAGAGACATATAAGAATACTATGGCCCTAACTGGTTTGCCTCAGTGGATGGAGCGTCAGCCTGCAGACTGAGGGGTCCCAGGTTCAATTACAGTCAAGGTTATGTACCTTGGTTGCGGGCACATCCCCAGTGGGGAGTGTGCAGGAGGCAGCTGATCGCTATTTCTCTCTCATCGATGTTTCTAACTCTCTATCCTTCTCCTCTCTGTAAAAATCAATAAAATATATTTTTTTAAAAAAGAATACTATGTACAACTTTATACCAATATTTGAAAAAAATCAGGTGAAATGGATCACTTTCTAAGAAAAATAAATTTCCAAATTTAGCTCCAAAGCAGAAAACCAAGAGACTAGTAAAAGAAAATAAATTAAAACTGAAATGCTAGGAAAACAATTTTAAAAAGTGAGATTTACAGAATTTTCAATAAAAAGATAAATTACTCAAAATTTCCCCAGAAACCTAGAAAAATACAGGGTGTTCCAAAAAATGTATACACACTTTGAATAATTATTAATTCCAATAAGTTAAATCTGAAAAGAAAGAAACATCAATAAAGCTATCAGCTGCTGAAGTGTGTATACATTTTGGAGGGACTACACAGTTTAGTTTACGATGTTAGAAGAATCTTGATTCCAAAATTGTTTCTGGATAGCACAAAGAAAAAAAAACTCCCAACAAAATCCAAGCTAAAATCTGTTTTTCCCCAAGCTAGTACCTTAAAAAAGAAAATTCCATAACATATTTAAAAATATATAACAAACATACAGTTTATTTTAGAAAGCTAAGTATGGATTAGCATTAAAAAACCTAGCTTGGCTGGTGTGGCTCAGTTGTTGAACATCGACCTACGAACCAGGAGGTCACAGCTGGATTCCCAGTAAGGGCACATGACAGGGTTGCAGGCTTGATCCCCAGTAGGGGGCGTGCAGGAGACAGCTGACCAATGATTCTCATCATTGATGTTTCTCTCTCTCTCTCTCTCTCCTCCCTTCCTTTCTGAAATCAATAAAAAATAAGTCTAGTCGTGGAATTTTGTATGATACTAGATTTAAAGAAAAAGGCTACCTGATTATCTCGATAAATGCTGAAGAAAACCTGAAAAATTCAACAACTATTCATAATTTTCAAAATGAACACATACACAAAGAAAAACCTGTTAGCAAATTAGGAACACATAAAATGTGATAAAAAGAGTATATACTACAAACCAATGACACAGAGATACATACATTATTAAATCCTAATTGGGAAACTGCATGAAACTTCTCCTAAAAGAACATAATATCCTTTCAAGAAATTTTTAATGGCTGCCAGAGTCATGCATTTTTAATGTAGGAGATTATACTTCTGATAAACAGAGACTAGCATAATTACCTGCTTTAGTGCCTTCTTGCTGTGCTTCTGTGATGGAGATATGACTTTACCTGCTGGAATTGTGGGTGATGGGCAACCTGACTGGGGAGAGGATGGCTGTGACAGTCTAGATGATACTAAGGAGGAAAATGACAATGATAATTTGTTATCAGAGTTGATATCAAGCACCATGCCTTCCCCAATCATATTCTGCTACCTGTATTAAGAACTGTGACCAAACACTTTTGGGAAGGATCTTCTTTTTGGAGTTCTACGGCAAACAGCCTCCCTTTTCAGTTTATTTCCTCAGAAAGCTCTAGTGAAGGATGATAGGATGGGGAAGGGGTGGGTGTTAGTATTCATACCTTTTCATTCTTTAATTTTTCAAAAGAATTGAATGAAGAAACAGGAAGCAGAATATAAACCATTAGTCACCAAATTAGATAAACTTAGAAAAGATTCTAGAGCCTGTTGGACAGTATGTATGTTCTTAAGGTAAATCTAACAACATGATATAGTGGAAGAAACCTGGATTGATAGAATAGGTCCCAGTTTTCCCTATCTTTAAAATAAAGGCAATGAGGCCATTCCACCTCAAAAACTCTACTACAGCTTTAATACTGATATTTCCACATCTCTTCAATCAGCAGTTTAGGGTGAGAGAGCACTTGAGGATTTCTCTAATGGAAGCAATGTAGGTTAACAAAACATAAACCACTCTCTTCATCATTACTAGCGGTTTTATACCCCAGAGCTTAGCCCAACCTTGGTCTTACGTGAATGAGGGTCTTCCCCTCCAAGAGCCTATACCTCTTATAATAAAGCACATTTGATCTTTATGTTTTATAGAGTTTAACAGTGCATTATCTATGATGAGATAAATTGTTGATTCAGACCCCTTAACAATAAAAATAAAATAATCGCTACTGTTAGTGATGACTTTGAAGAGTACCTGTTTACTAATACCTTCTCCTTTCATAGTAGTTGGAATGAAAAGGCTTAATAGCAAAATGGAATCCCATAGTGTGGGCTAAAGAGCTTTAAGATACCAAATCAAGTATGTTGGTAGGTAGCTACCTAACATGAAAATGCAGAAGCATTGTTCATTGGAATACAAAAGTTTTGAAACAGAGCATTTCAATTGTCTCTTAGATATCTTAAGAAAAGAATACACAGTAAATAACACTTTAAAGAGGACACTTTAAAGAGCAAACAATATTAAAATGAGTCACCTACGTAGCTTTAGCTTTATATCTCAACCTTTATGATACAGTTCAGCGGTCGCCAACCTTTTGGAGCTCACGGCCCACTAAATTCATAATTTTAAATCCCGGGGACCACTAATGTTTTTTAAAAAAGATAAATACATTTGTAAAATAATGATCAGAGCACTTCCATTTTATTAATATGAAATGCACCTATTTAATATAACATTTTAAATACTTATTTAATCATAACAAAATCTTCAAAGGTTGTTTAATTGTAACAAATTTATCAAAGTAAGTTTAATTTTTACAAAATAATTGAAGCTTATTTAAGTACTAGAGGCCCGATCACGAAATTCATGCATGAGTAGGGTCCCTAGGCCTGGCCGGTGATCAGGGCCAATCTGTGGGGTGACAAATGGGGTAATCGGGGGGATCCCCCGCTGGCACCTGCCTTGGCTGGCTTGGGGCCTGTGGACTGGGGGGCAGCACCTGCGTTGAGCGTCTGCCCCCTGGTGGTCAGTGCGCGTCATAGTGACGGGTCGTTCCACCATTTGGTCGATTTGCATATTAGGCTTTATTATATAGGATTACACAATTTTAGAGTGTGATATTTACTCCTGTTTGCTTGAAATAAGTTTATGGATTTTTGGCTCCAATGCCATTACTGCAAGATGGAGAGCCGTACTTATTTCAAGCCAAGACCGGTACCGAGTTTTAATTGCTGTGACAGATGAAAATGTTTTTTCGCACAAATATGTTGTTGAAAACTGAATCAAAATTTTCATTACTTTTTCACTCCCCAAGGGGTATTCACTTTTAATGGAGATAAAAAATGAGGTCTTGATAAGGATGACTGGAATTTAGCTTTGAACTATAGTCAGATGATAGACCGATGAGGCTTTCTTTTTCACTCATGCTTAAATTGCTGTCTTCAATGTTTGCTGCAGATGGATCTATTATCCACATACTGCCATGTCTGGGATCTTCTTTCTTTGGGTAATAATGACCAAAGATTCTGTGCATGATTCTAAGTGCTGTTGAACAATGGTTACCACCTGCCGGTTGATATCCTTCTCTCTCATATAGTCATCAAAGTTTGAAAATATTTGCAGATCTTCTTCAGCCAATCATGACTGCCACAGTAATATTTTCTTTTGAAAAGCATCCATTTTACCTCGTAGTGAGAACACATCCTTAAGTTGTCCTTGCAAGTTCATTTAGTTCATTTAATAGTGAAAAAATATCTGCCAGGTATGCAAGCTTGGCTACCCACTTATCATCGGATAAGAGTTCTTGTAATTTCAGATTATTTTGCCACTGGAAAAAATATTTTGACTTCTCCGTGTAGGGCTAACAGTTGGGTTAGTATCTTGCCCCTCAACAGCCATCTCACCTCAGTGTGAAGGTGAGTATAGTGGGAACCCATTTCTTCGCAAAATGCCTCAAATATTCGAGAATTGAGCACTTTGTGTCGAATTTCATTTATAATTTTAATAACATCTGATAATACCTCATGTATTTCTGGGGACATTTTTTTCACCACAAGTTTCTCACAATGTATAGTAAAGTGTGTAGACAAAATGTCTGGGTGACCAACATTTTTCACCTTTGCAAAAATTCCTGAAAGATGCCCAGTCATGTTTATGGCACCTTCTGTACGTATTCCAATACATTTTTCCCATTCAATTCCATGTTCCAGGAAATAACTATTAAGTGCTTCAAAAAACTCAGTTGTTGCACCCAGCAAGTTGAGCAAACAAAGTAGTTCTTCCTGTAACTCTCCTTCACACTCAACCCTCACAAAACAAAGGAGAAGTGCCTTGTTACTTACGTCTGTTGATTTGTCAAATTGAATTGAATAAAATGGTGAATTTTTCACCATTTTTATAACTTGATTTTCAATATCTTCAGCCATGTCTTCAATTCTGCGTTTGACAGTGTTAGCGGACATAGTAATTGCTTTCAATTTCTGGACAGCCTGCTCGCCCAAAACCTCTTCACAGGCTTGTAACATGCAAGGCTTAATTAATTCTTCTCCAATCGTATACGGCTTTTTATTTTTCGTGATCTAAAATGCTATCAGATAAGAAGCCTTTAATAAGGATTTATCTCCAATAGTCATTTTTGTTAGAGCAATTACTTGCTTTTGCATATTTTCACGCATTCTTTGAAAAATATTCAAGTGGTTTTATAGCTAAATCCGGGTGTTTTGATTGCAAATGTCTTTCAAGTTTTGAAAGTTTCACGGCATCATTGGATAAACTCTCAGAACACACAACACAAAGTGGCCGTGCATCCAACTCACTACCAGGTTCTTAAACAAATCCAAATTTCAAGTAGTTCGAATCATGTTTTCTTGATACTTGGAGTTTTTTCTTCTCTCCGTCACCAGTTCGAATGTTCTTCCTAATGGTGCCTGACGAGGACTTTGGAGACTGATTCATTGATCAGCTCACAGTTAAGTGAAGTACACATATTACTATTATTACTATTATCATTAGCTACATTATCTTTTGTATTACTAAAGAAATGCTTTGCTTTTTCCCCCTCATTATGGGATTATTTCATTCAAATCTAAAACCAAACAAGAAATGATAATTATTAAAGGCAAACTATTTGATGCCATTAAATATAACAGTTAAAGAAAATACACATTTACATACAATACATAAATAAAATAAAACAACTGGATGAGAATCGGTTAATCGCGGAGTGGGTGACTGCTGTAATGGTTGAAACAATACTGAAGCCGCTTGCACCTCTCTTGTTTCCCCCTCGCTAGTTACTAGAAAGGGGAATTCACTAAATGTACTAGAGCAGTGATGGCGAACCTATGTCACGCGTGTTAGAGGTGACACGTGAACTAATTTGTTTGGTTAATGTTTCTTTGTTAAATGGCATTTAAATATATAAAAGAAATATCAAAAATATAAGTCATTGTTTTACTATGGTTGAAAAGATCAAAAATTTCTGTAGGTGACACGGCACCAGAGTTCAGTTAGGGTTTTTCAAAATGCTGACCGCCGCGCTCAAAAGGTTCGCCATCACTGTACTAGACTCTAGTACATTTCGTGAATTTAGTGCACTGTAAAGGCGAAAACTGTCAGTCACAATATAAGAATTTCTTAGAATATTTTTTGTTTTATTATTATTTGTTAGGATTAATAAAACATAAAAATGCAAATAATGTCCAAACTTTTCTACAGAACACCGAAATTTTCTCACGGACCACCAGTGACCTGCAGACCACCAGTAGGCGACTGCTGATACAGTTTATATATTGGAAAAAAACTGCATACAGTAAGTGTGACATTTAAAAAAACCATTGTAATATATCACACAAAAATAAAGTTGGATCATTCTTGACATGCCTGAGCAACAAGAAAAAACCATAACCTCAGTGCATTTATACAACATCTTTACGGAGATGTAACTTATATACCATACAATTCATATATCTTCAAAGCTGTGCAACCATTACCACAATCAATTTTCATTACCCACTAAAAAATCCTGTATGAGTTAGCCGTCACTCCTTTTTCCCTAATCAATGTCTCTATTATTAAGCAATAACTAATCTACTTTCTGTCTCTATGTATTTGTCTATTCTGGACATTTCAAATAAATGAAATCATACAGTATGTGCTTTTTAGTGACTGGCTTTTTTCACTAGCATGTTTTGAAGGTTCATCCAGGTCAGAGCATGTATCAATCAATACTTCATTCCCTTTTATCTCTTGACACTATTCCAATTTACGCATATGCCCCATTTTTTTATTCATTAGCTGATGGTCATTTGGGTTATTTCCACTTTGGGGGCATTTTGAACAATTATATACAGAATATTTGCGCCCTAGCCAGTTGCTCAGTGGATAGAGCGCCGGCCTATGGACTGAAGGGTCCAGGTTCGATTCCGGTTAAGGGTATGT